TCAATATTTACAACCTTGTTAACGAGAGACTTGTCGACGATAAATCCAACACCTCCTTAGGACAGATGGTCGCCCTCCCGGTGATAGAACAAGTTGCCGGATTCGAGCATTACCGTGTCCTCCCCCTCTCTTCGGACCTCGGGTAATCCTATAATATTCCAGCGCAACTTGTCTATCTCTTCTTCCAGCTCCAGTATCTTCTCGTCAGTCCTCAGGGTTAGTGCGTTATATATTGCCAGGTTGAGTCGTTGTAGGTGTCAAGCGAACCTCCATCGGAGATTCTTAGCACCCGCTTACCCGCCGTTACCATGGTCGCCACCAAGTGGCTACCGCAGTTTTTTATTGTGTAATTATTGTTATCAGGAAGATGCTGCTGCCCATCTCCTGTCTGTCTCCCTCTGTCGCTTTTTAACACACCCACGGAAAGACATGAGGTAGTGGACATTCTCAACCGTTAATACGCGGCACTTATTACACGGCATATTGTTGTATGCTTATTTTTGTTGCAAGAGTGAAGCCGCGTATAAAAAGCTAGTATTTCACTAAAAGTCTTGTCTTTCATTACGTTCTACAAAGAATACATGGTAATTTTAAGATCCAAATTATAGCACATGCTTGTTAACGGTTTGCCTCGGGCTTTATTGCAAACTATGTTAAACTTTTTTAATGAAAATCAAACTTATATTTAAAGGATTGTTACTTATAATAGCATTATGCTACTATTTTACACTGGTTTCTGTACGATCGTGGTCCTTTTCCTGTATACCCGAGCTTTTCGTGTTAAAGCGATAATTCTAGCGTGATTTTACCACGTAAAATATTTTATATTATGATAGGAAATGCATTATCGGTGTGATTGTGCAAGCTGTGCTCTTATCAGCTTCCCAACCAAACGTGGTGAGGTAGGCCTGTTTTCAGTCATCATCATCACTATTACTGCATATCGAAGTTCATTGTAGAACAACGGCCACCCTAATAGAGCATTAAGCTGCTATTTCATTTCCTTACAAGGGTCAAGATTTTGCCATAATAGTCACGCATGGCAGGCGCGATGTACCTTTGACGTAGCTCCTTATTGCCGGTCTAAGTGTTTTCGCCTAGTAGACTTTTAAGACCTTTTTGGTGTTTCCCACAAGTTGTCTGATACGATATTTATACAACGAAATTGTATTAATGGATGGATTCTCTTACGCCCGTACTACACACACTACAAGGCAAGAATGGAGACTAAAATACGTTTAAGAATTTATTCTCAATTATATATCTCATATTACCGCTCTCAGCGTTTCCTGTAGGCTTGACATTCAAGGTTTATAACTTCCTACCGATTATATTAACTTAAAACCAAGTAGAACCAGCCGAAGAATCCCACTGGGCTGGAACGCGATCGAGAAATTGCGACATATCTCGTTCGGTATGGACCTCATAACTTTAAAACAAAAGTGCCACATATCAGTGAGCAAAAAAATGTGTGATAAAATGATTATTTATATTTCAAACCTTTAGGTGCACTTACATATTGTTATATACTTATTTTTGTTAATGACCACCAAGTGGATATCGATAAAAATATGTCAAATATAGTTGAAAAGTCATGATAAGCCTTGCTTAATAAAAAATTCAATACTCGCTACTGTAAAATCTTTATCATAGAGAATGTATTAAAAAAATACTCGTCGTCAAGTAAGAATTCTCAAAAGGCTGAAGGTTAATTAATGACTGTATGCTAATTATAGGACATAATTGTTATGATAGTTGAGCAGTTGAGCTCCATATACGTAGATATTTGAAAGGATTTTGATGAATAAGATCTTTTTTTTTAAATAATAATAACGAATCCCTTCTTATTCTTCTTGAATAGTGTCCACTTCAATGAGTTCACTACCAGAAACACATATTGACGGCTTAAGAGAATTCAATTTCCTATATCATCCCGCAAATATCGTAAGAGGCGCCAAAAGGAAAACGAAACATATTTGGCGATTATACCTGCTATTAGGGTGGCCTATCGATCTATCGATATGCAGTAATAATGATAATGATGACTGAAAACAGGCCTATCTCACCACGATTGTTAGTGAAGGTGATAAGAGAACAGCTAGCACCCCTGACATCGATAATGGTGTTCCCTATCGTAATATAAAAAAAAATTACGTGTTAAAACCACGCTAAAATTATGGCTGAAACACGAAGAGCTCATGGCTCATGGCAGAAATAAGAAGAAAGGACCACGCTCGTACAGAATACCAGCTTGAATTAGTAGTATAATGCTAACATAAGTAACAACCCGTGAAATATAGGTTTGATTTTCGGATAGATTTTCCGCGATTAGTCATGCAGAGCCTGCCGAAACTAGTGTGCTTCAGGTGCATTTAAGATTTTATTTAGCGAAAAAGTTAATATATCTCCCTTTACGCCCCCTATTTTACGTTACTTTATCTTTAATTTAACTTTTGATTCTATATTCACGATCTTCTAAATCTCTATAGGTTATTACGCGCGGATAGATATATCCCGGAAGAAGAAGAAGCGTTTGAAATTTATTCAGTTTCTGATTTAGGGATCCAACCGTCTTGTAATACCAAAAGTTTTTCAGCATAAAAAGCAAGCGTGATCATGCTTACAAAAAAAAAATCTGGATAAAAAACAAATTTCATAATATTATATTAAACTATTAAATTATAACTAATGCTATAATGTGAGATATAATTTTCTAGCTGGCGCAGTAATATCATAAAAAATAGAGAAGAAGAAGAAGAAAAAAAATTTATTACATTCATAAAAATTAACCAGTCTATTTAACAGTACAGCATATTTTGCAATATAGCCCTAGGCAAACCGCTAGCGAGCATGTGCTATAAAGTGGATCTGAAAATTATCATATTATATTCTTTGTAAAACGTAATGAAAGACAAGGCATTTTAATAAAATATAGTAGCAAGATTGCTTTAATACATATTCATATCAATTTATATAAAAGTTTTATGTTAAAATGTCTCGATTGATATTGATTTTTACCGCCTCTGGTTTTTAATTTTGTTGATGGTTGAAATATGCTATTATTATAATACGCGAAATTTGACAATTATTTATTTTAAGCCAATTTACTAAACGTGGTCCAGTTAGCTCGCTGATGTTTGGATTTCCTCGGAGATTACAGATGTGAAGATATTTGTAATATAATATATATATATATATATAACTTGTATGTCGATGTATAACGAGTCTGTTTAGTGAAGTCCATACTTGATTCTGATTTACATATTTCGCGGATTACTGGAAGATTTGTTATTTTGATAATGAATGTTTTATTTGCACTTACAATATTTAATTTTATGACGTGTTTCGTAAATATATGATATTATCGTTACGAACTCCTCATTTAGATACTGTTATAATGGGTCCGATTTATAAAAGTCCTAATTTTAATGTCATGTGACCACGTTTTTAGGTTGTGTTCTAATTCAATTTTCGTAGAACGATATATGTTTTGCGTTCTATATACATTTTAATATATATATATTACAATGTACGTACGTTCATACTAATACTACGGTCCATATTTTACAAAACTTATTACTTTAGAAAACTCATTATACATAATATCACGATGAATTTTTTTCAATGTGTTATTACATAGTATACACCTAATAAATACGTTTTATTAAAATAAATTGTAAAGATAAAAAAAGAAATAACTTACAAATAGTTACGAAATGAAAAGACGATAGTAAGGGCAGACAGGTTCACTGGGTGGTTTGTCTCCTTTTCTATCTATAGACAGTATAGGAGTCCGTCTGGGTCTCCCATACCTCCTAACTACATATTTCTACAGCTAAATATATCAGAGCGTGCGATATTGTGTTTTGGTCTGAAGGGTATAGAGATCCACTAAAATTGCAGGCTATGAGGCTTTCCATCTTAGTCCTCATTGGTGAACGTATCTGTATCACGTATGTTGTAGCACATATCTGTCTGCAGCCTTTTCTGTCTCAAGGTATCTGCAGGCGTTCATGGACTGAAGTAAAAACTCACCATCTGGTGGATAGTAGATAGTTCGTTTATCACTATATTTTCGTAAAAAACGACCTAATGCCAACCCATAATTATATTTAAAAATAAAACCAAATAGCGCTACTGATTTACAATGCATGTGCTAAGAGTGGTTCACGAAAATGTTTGAATGTTTGATGCAAATCCACGATTTTTGGGTTTTACTGTCCGCATTCTTTACTGAGATTACTGCGGTTCTTTAAATTAACTAACATAGCAATAGAAACTAAGTCCATACGTAATTGTGTAATAATTTGCTACATTTCCCTCAAGATTCAATAATCAATGTGAATCCAGTAGGCACTTGCACCATACGCATAATATTACATTTCTAAAATCAGTAAGTTTTTTCAAAGAATATGCTGAAAAAAATTAAGGCTTTCCTTAACAAAGAAAACTTCGATAGTTCAAAGGGATTTGTGGATCCCTATAAATATCATTTTACTTGTTATTATATATTAAAATATTTTCAAGTGTTAGATAATGAACCTATTCCAAAATGGACGTAAGTTTCTTTATTAATGTTGTTGACTTTTTTTTAAATTAGGTAAAAGGTTCATGTGAAAGCTTAAAAAGCCATCTTCTTAAAAAGCATACTAAACCTTAGCATCACATGATTTGGTGATATAGTTGGTTGTCGGTACTAAACTATTATAGCCGTCGACTGTCGCAGGTATTTTGTGACATTATGATGCTATCATAAAATATACCTCTGCAATTACAAAATATAAATATCGAAATGTAATCCCATGCTATTTAACTTTTAAATTATACTTTTTTTATTAATAACTTTCAACATTTTCAGATATTTTTTACTAACATTTATGGCTATATGTGTAACTATCGCCCTAAGCATTGTAATCTTAGCGTTTTACCATGGCATCGATATAAATGATTTACAAACTATAACCGAAGGAGGTTGTTACTGTATTTTACTATTTTATGAAATGTTGATGCTTTCGTGCACTATAATAAACTTACCGCAATACCATGATTTCTTACGAACTTTGAGAGCTGATTTTAAATACGTGTGCACAGAAGGGGCAAAATACAGGTTAGCTTAACATCGTTTAGGCAATAAATTATGTAAACAACTTTTTTAAATATATTTTCATTCTTTTGATTTCACAGGGACAGGTTTTTTGAAAATCAACTAAAAACATGGAAAATGTGCATTTTTTCCGTAATTTTCACAAGTTGCATTGGTGGAGGCGTTGTGATATTTACAAGTCTTTGCTTATTGTGGCACGCTGCAACTCACGAAGCAGGAGATGGTTCAAAGAGACCGCTTTTATTTCCATTTTGGTTCTTTGGAGTGGATTTTAGTGCATCGCCAATCTATGAAATAGCATTTACTTTTTCCAACATTTGTTCATTGGCTTATGCCTATAGTTATGTATGTAAGTCAATAAGCTAAAATATATTTACTACGTTTAATTAAGAGCAATATTTTAGGAAAGTTAATTGAGATGATTAAATAGGGAGACTTATTTTTCGGTATTTCAAATTAATATTTTAAAACGTATTTATTAATTTCAGTTATGATTCAAACGCAAATATTGTGGATTGGTGAAATAACAGCAAAAGCAGATCTAATAATTTGGTATATCCAAGATCTAATGGAGGGGCTTCAATTACCGAACAATCAAGAAGAGGCTGATAGGTTCATATCAGTAATAAAATCTAGAATGAGAGAAATAGTACGTGAGCATCATTCAATGTACATGTAAGTTATATAACTTAATAAACGTCATACTTTAAATGAATATTAATTATGTTATGTAATTTGGGTTGAAAAATTCTTGCATATCACTAGTTTCCGTGATGTTTGCGCTGTTAGCCTTTTGGCTTTTACAGCGTTATCGGTCTCAGGGCTCACGGCTTGAGGGCCGCAAGCTTAAAATAAAAAGGAACATTCTCCATCGATCTGCATCGTAACTTGCATAACGATGTTCGCCTACGTCAATTGAAAGTGCACGTAAATGAGTTATCTAACAGCCTTCCGAACAGGCGACTGGCGGCCCCCGTAACTGACGGCTTACTCGTATCATTCGATGTTCTTGGCGGTGAGAACCGCTCAGGGACGCGGGTGTATGGTGTGTACGTGGTGTGGAAGGGTGTGCGGCGCGCCCGTACGTGGACTCGTTGCGTCCCATCTGATGTACAAAGTGTGTTTTTTTGCACTAGGTTAGTGTATAATATTTGTGCGTGACTGGGCGGTGACATTTGGGTCGTTGGAATCTAGCAGAACAGGGAGTTCTATTAAAACGTTACGGAGCCTCCGAAGACTTTTCATGACGTTTGGACTCGGGACGTAGGTGGCTGTGTTTACCATTAACAGATTCGGATGTGTCTCGGATCTTTCAAAGTAGCTTGTAACTTGGATTGATAAATCCTTGTATGTTCGTTGTAGTGTTGGGGCGTTACCCATTTGGTTAAAAGAGAAAGAAAGAAAGAGAGAAAAAGAGAGAGAGAGAGAGAGAGAGAGAGAGAGAGAGCAGGAGCGAGAAAGAGCAACAATCGTTTCTAGATATAGCCAAATGGCCAGCTCCTTGCACAGTAGCAGTGGGATATGCGTAATAATATAATCTAAAATTAATTGATTATCATTCTTTACAACATCATCAAAAGCATCGTCTTTATCATAAGAGCCTATTTTGTGTCCACAGCTAGGCATAGCGCTAAACTTCACCATAAAGGGACGGTATATCAGTGCCCTCTAATGAACTTTTTTTTTAAGGTATATTATTTCATATTACTTGACAAAGTATGTCGTATTATATGGGGTTTTTACATATGCAATTAGCATTTTGTCGTACTGACCACTTTGATCTGAAATATCTCCTCTTTGGTTAAGAATTTCAAATTCAATTTTATAAATTCATTTAGCTGGTACATTTGAGTTTTGAAAACAGTCATTCATTTGTTTTTTCCTCATTATTTTTTTCTTTGGCTTATTACCGCACAATGGAAAACATAAAATATCGGTATATTTACGAGTACGAGTTCTACCGTGGGCGTGTTTTCTTTTGCGATAACAGTGCTGCTGTTATCGCAAAAGAAAGCACGCTACATTTTTGGTTTCAACGTTTTCGTTCTGGAAATTTCGACCTTCAGAACCAACCCCATCGACGGCTGGGTACCAAACTGGAAAATGAAGAATTAAAGGCTATTGTGGAAGCGGATCCATCACAAAGCACTTCAGAGATAGCTGCAGGCTTTGGGGTAAGTGATAAAATGTATTTATCCACTCGAAGCAAATCGGGAAAGTAAAAAAAACTTGAATGATGGATACCTCATGAATTGAGTGAATCGAACTTGCATACACGCGTCGACTGCTGTGTTACTTTGCTCCCCCGACACAAAAATGAAGGGATTTTAAATCGAATCATTACTTCTGATGAAAAATGGATACTGTACGATAATCGGAAGCACTCGTCGCAATGGCTGGAGACCCAGCCAAATCCTGCCTTAAACAAAAACTGACAGAAAAAGTTACTTGTGAGTGTTTAGTGGAATAGCACCGGTGTCGTTCACTACAAATTTATAAAATCTGGCCAAACGATTACAGCAGATATCTATTGTAAACAACTGCAAACAATGAAGTCAGAACTAGTTGCTAAATAACCGAGATTGGTCAATCGCCTACTACTTTTGGACTACAATTGTAATGTCTGCAACATCCACCGTACTTCTCGGACTTTGCTCCAACAGATTACCATTTTTTCCGGAATTTGGACACCTTCTTACAAGGAAAAAAATTCAACTCCGATGCGGCAGTCCAAACCGCCTTCAAAGAATTTATTGTTTCTCGCCCCCGTGGTTTTTTTTAGTAAAGGGATCAATAAACTACCTATTAGATGGCAAAAGTACATAGATAACAACGGTGCATACTTTGATTAATCAAGTTTATATTACAAAAAAAATGACTTTATATTCCTCCCGTACAAAACGCCAATTTCATATGTAAGGACCTATTTATTATACTTGTTGTGACTTGCAGTCAGTGTTTTATTTTATTATTTTTAGACTTTTAAAAAACTATATCACAATTTATAAAAAATTACTAATGTTTGAACAAAAAGGTTGCGCTCCTGTGGTCTGTCTTACCGCCTACTGCACCGCTGAGGTAAATTATTCTTTATAATAATTCAATTTTTGTGAATGAAAGGAATATAAAATCAATATAAAACATTTTAATGGGTTGATTTATTTTTATATAAAATATAATACATTTTATATATTTAATTTAATTACAAAAATTATTTTTTATACCAAAAACCGCGATTAAACAAGCGTTTTTATTTAGTATAGCCAAAAAGATTTTACACGGTACGGGTAGAGGCAACTAGCTGTTTTGGGTCACTGAAAGTGTCATTGTATAGATTTTCGTGTGCTTAATAGCTAGCTAAGTACGGAAGTGGTAAGGAGAGCTGAAAACTATTTACTGAGTTGCATATTCCATGCTCACCGCACGCTAACAATATATTTGAAAATATCTACTTCATAATAAAAGAATAATTAAATGTCTTATAAATTAACACGTTTTAGTTATATAATTATCATGTCCCTAATTGTTTTCATATATAATTAGCAATCTTAGTTACCTTCAGTCCCAAATTGGACTTAATTACGGATGTTTCTCATGTATCAAATCTCTCAAACTTTTTTGCTGTTCGCAGTCGCATTGCCAACCAAGGTAATGGTATACAGAACATTGCCGTCGTAGTAGTTGGTTGGGCTTGGAATTCCAAATTATTTTTTTTATTTTTGCATGCATTTTAAGCATGTGATTCCTTTTACAAAATAATTTTTAGTTTTTGTTTCTTTATTTTATGAAAATCAGCTAAATATTTTATAACCATAGTTTCTACAAAATCGTGTTATTTTCGACTAAGAGTTGCGACTTGGTACTCGTAATTCTGCGACTCAAACGGAACACAATATAAACGAGTATAATAGGCTAGCATAGAGAACATAACGTCACCCTAACTAGTGTAACCATTTATCTATATTGCTATTTTATGGATTTTTTTTTGGATGTACTGCAAGTTCAGTTAGCTAAATTGCTTAAAAATTACTTTAAGTCACCTACACGGACCTGATACTATAATCGAACGAATTGTGTGTTAATTGTTCAGTATTAATGATCTCACAAAAGAACCTCTTGGCCACCCCACGAAGAAGGTGAATAAGAAGAGTAACGACAAACTGAAGGTCACTTTCAGCTCGTCATTAATCTTCTTCTGTGGGAGTTGATCCATCTCAACCTACGGTTGAGGTTGCGTCGATCTTTGATGTAAGACTATAGCAAATCAGCAACATAAATAGGCTCGATGAATGGCTATATCATGAACTAAAGACGACTAAAACGAGAGCGAGAATGAGAGGTGGCGAGAGGCTCACGTCAAAGTTAGATCATTTGCGGCAATTCTGTATAATAAATAAGTTTGAAAAGGGGGAACCTTACAAACTGAGTAACGTACAGCTAGTGGTCCCCACTGAAGCTTACCTCTTATTGCTGAATTGGCATAGAAAGGAGAAAATGAGTCAAATTATTATCTGCGTTGAAAAGCGGGTTTTATGTGACAATCTCAATCGTTCATCACATTGGTTAGATCCAGGTGTCAAAGCCACATCATCATAATTATCAGCCTGCGGCAGTCCACTGCTGGACATAGGCCTCTCCCAAGGCGAGCCACTTCGCCCGATCTTCTGTTTCACGCATCCAGTTACAGCAAGCCGCCTTGCGCAGATCGTCGCTCCATCAAGCTAGGGGGCGTCGCACTACGTTTACCTAAACGCGGTCTCCACGACAAACGTGACCAGCCCATTGCTACTTCAGCCTGCAAATATGGAAGGCTACGTCGGTGACCTTAGTTCTCGTATTCGGATTTCTTCGTTACAAATCTTATTCATCAGAGAAACTCTGAATATAGCTCTTTTCATCGCCTGCTGGGTGACTTTGATTTTCTTGTGGAGTAGTCGTACCAATAATATCCACTTTTTGGCACCGTATGTGAGTACTTGCAGGACGCACTGGTCGAAGACTTTCGTCTTCAAACTTTGCGACAAGACCTGATGAAGCGTCCAGAACGCTGCCAAGCTTATCTGAATCCGCCTATCGGCTTCTTTTTCGAAGTTGTTTTTATCTATCTGCATTATCTGGCCGAGGTAGAAATACTACTGAATAACTTTAAGAATTTCACCATCAACGATAATCGGATCCGGTATGACATGACTGTTAAACATGACTTTCGTCTTATTTAAATTCATACGAAGAACAACACGTTGAGAGGATCCATTTAGGCTGCTAAGCATCTTGTAGTTCCTGCAGCGATTGTGCAATGACGACGATATCATCGGCAAAGCGTAGGTGTGAGATGTGTTCGCCGTTTATATTGACGCCGCGTCCATTCCAGTTTAGCGTTTTAAAAATATCTTCCAGGGCATTTGTTAACAGTTTCTGGGATATTGTGTCTCCCTGTCTCACTCCACGATGTAACTGGATAGGTTTTGTAAGACCACCTTGTACTTGGACGGACATGGAGCTTGTAGTGTTTAAATGTCTGGAGACATCTATATATCGCCAGTCTATCTGGCAACGCTGCAAGGAATTTATAACAGCCCAAGTTTCGATGGAGTCAAAGGCTTTCTCATAGTCCGCAAAGGCCAGAAACAGAGGCTAATTATACTCATTCGTCTTTTGTATAATTTGCCTTACTGTGTG